CCATCCTATGTCGGTAAAAATAGGATTGGTGAAATGTTTAAGTGACAGAGCACAAAAACTAAGTAGTACCAAGGCAAATCTAAGACAGGAAGTGATACACATAAAAGAAGCCTTAAAACTGAATAATTACCCGGATAAATTAGTCAGGAAATATGTAAGGAAGTGTAAAAATAAAGTAAGTAATGATAGTAGCGATAGTGATAATTATAATAATGATAACAATAATAATGATAGTAATAATAATATTAATCATGACACCAACAATAAGGAATCTAAATAATCAGTGGTAATTCCATACAAGGAAGGAACCTCGGAAACCTTACGTAGAATCCTTAACAAGGCAGGAATAAAAGTGGCATTCAAACTCACAAACTCAATTAGAAACAAGCTTTATCGGTTAAAGGATCCTGTGGAGCCTTTAAAACAAAACAATTTAGTTTATCTAATAGTATGCTTGAATGATTGTGGTCAAATACATAGGTTAAACTAGTAGAACAGGGGTAGTCAGACTAGCTGAACATATAAACCTATCAAAATCTAGATTGGTTGACCCAAATAAGATACGAAATCTAGAGAATAGTTGAGCTATACATGCACTTACACACAGCACAACCATACAATAGGGTGGGGTAGGATGACAGTTTTTCAAACCTAATGTACCAGCAGGGTGGAGGGAGAGATTGATAACAGAAGCTTTGTTTATCGAATCAACTGCAAATACATGTAATAGGAATGATTCAACACCTGTCCCAGATATCTGTGTAAATGCATGTAGTAGGTGTTATAGCTAAACTATTCTCTAGATTTCTTACCTAGTTTTCTGAAGTTCCTTCTTTGTATGGAAGTACTGCTGATGATCTGAACTTGCTATTGTTGGTGTTGTCATTATCCTGTGCATGTTTGACATGCATGTCATCATTATTATTGAGAGATTGATAACAGAAGCTGAGTTTATCGAATCAATTGCAAACTCGTGTAATAGGAATGGTTCAACATTTGTCCAGCCGGATATCAGGAAAAATCTACTACTCCTACGACAAATAGGAGAAGACAAAGTAGACTATAAAAATCAAGTTTCGAAGTCGTGTGATTACTATTGATACGATTATGAACAATAAATTTTGTTCGAATCGTCATCCAGTAAATAATACTGTTTTTCTCCGTGGTTTTTCCCTGTGTAACGTTTATGTCTATCCCTGTGTGGGAAATATTTTCAAGAAATTAGTGTTGGTTAGGTAGTGTCGTATCCTGGAGGTGCACTCTAGTTAGGTTAGATGAAGAACCCGCAACTCAGGATGACTCCGTCTTCACAGTTTCTCTGTTTGTCTTTTAATCAAATTAAAAGAGATTCGGTTGTATAACACAAGAGTGAAGGAGATAAAAATCCAAAGTTCTTAGTCGATCTTTTAAAACACCAACATTTGCTCATACACACACGTACACGCACGCAAACACTCGCATCTTTGTTCATTAGTTCAATATCTTCACTGATCCAGGCGACTAGTGGTAACAAAATCAATTCATTATTTGTCTTGGATTAATTTTGCGTGTTGATAGTATTTGCCGTATCAAGGTTTAGCCTGTATAAAATTATACACATATATCTCATATGTTGTTAACAGTTATTAGCCGGATATACCATTGTCGGATTATTTAATCGTTTTATATTACGGTAAAAAGGAGGAATAATTAGTCCTTAATACTTCGAAGTGTACAATCACCGGGAGAGAGAGAGAGAGCGCCACCACCGATTGAATGTTAAACGAAGCATATCAATTAGAGGATAAAGTGGGAGCAAGTCATGCGTTATATACATTGTTGTAATAGCTTAATGTTTCTTTGCTTTGTTATTTTTGATGTTGTTTCGGCATCTGTAGTATGTATGAGTTGACTGATGAAAAATGTTACTTGTGATTGTTCAAACTTTGGTAAATGTTAGTAGATTCAATTGACGGTTGAATCCTTTGACCGCTGAGCACAAAGTTCTCTTTTCAAGAATTAGTTTGTTGAAATTCGATTTGTTTTTCGAGTTTGATCACGGATTAATATCAGTTAGAGAACTGCTGAAAAAACCATCGAGGAATACTGGAGAAGTGTTTCGTTCTAGATTAGACCTCTTCGGCAGTACACCCCCAGCCGGAGTTTGAACACAGGACCTTCCGATTACAAGGCGACCTCATAGACTATTCAGACACAGGTAAATGATCTAATGGCCAACCCGTAAATTCTAACTTTTGTCAGCATGAAGTTCTAGTGAGAAACCATGACCAATGGGGTGGGGGGTCCACCAGGTCGGTCGTGAGGCAAATACTCGCCAATGATATTGGCCGGTGGTCGTGCTAGAATCACGAATTGGTATAAGTTGAGATTTATGGGCTGGCCACTGGGTAAAGTCTCAGTGGTAGCAGAATGGCCTATGAGCTCGCCTCGTAACTGAAAGGTTTTGGGTTCGAACCCCTGTGGGTGAGTATTGCTTAATAGTCCTTGTAATTTTGCAACCGTTGAATTTGCTGCATTCCATGTAGCACACAAAGGTAGATATAAAAATGAAAAAGAAATTCGTAATGAGCAGAAGTATACACGACAAAGAATGATAACATTGAAAAACAATTGAATTTAGCGGATCTACGAAACTACAAAGAGTGAATGCATTTCCGCTATTGAGAAGTTTCCAGCCATCTGGTTCTTAGAATTTCGAGGACCCCAACCTAGCAATCTGCACCTCCCTACGTGGATGGCTCAATTCATCTGAGAAAAAGAATTCATGGAATGATGCCATTTTTACTTTGACTATTTTTGAGCCACATTAGGGGGGAGGTGTAGACTGCCTGGTTAGGGTCTTTAGGATTCTAAGAACCAAATGGCTGGAGACAATTTGTGATGTAGTTCAAAGTCGTCGTTCTCCACAGCGCAGATGCATTCACCTTTTGTAATCTGCTATATACAATAAACCTTATTGTCTTTCCATGTTACTATTGTTGTGTGTGTATATGTGTGTGCATGTCGAATTGAAGAGCTCCATTTCTGTGCAAAATTCTATATTGAAACCAGCAAGTCAGTTGGTTTGACTACCCGTAACTGTTTTTCAGCCCGAGGAAGGCAACTCCTCAGCATGTGCAACAAATCATGTCCTAGCCATCACAGACGATTCACCTTTCCAATCTCATCAATCGATTAACTTTCCCTCCTCACCTAACACTCTATGCCTAACCGCAATATTACTCACCGTATACTGTACCAACTAACATGGGAGATAGAACACAGACATCTGTGACCAAAGACAGCTAACCTCCCACCACTTTCAGTGATTATATCTTACTGCCATAAGGGAGGATGGAGCGAGCGAGCGAGCCAGCTAACTGGTGCGGAGTACATACGTCTTTTCGTCGATAGCTGAATATCACATCACACCCCAAAGATGAAATACGGATGTTACGTATCCATAGTGAGAGTTTGTCAGCAATCGATCGGTTAGAGACGACGCAAATATATATATATATATATATATGATAGAGAAGATTTGTAGCTCAGGTGGATGATTTTGATGTGGTTTTGTTCTCTGAGCTGGATGGTTAGTTTGCGAAGCTTTCATCACCTTACTGGGTGACATCTTCAGCGCATACTTCAATTTGAAGTGAGCTTTTAGATTTCTCCACGAGTTTATTAATCATCTCTCCTGGTGACCTTGGACGTGATTGGTTGTTTGTGTGTGTTTTCACACCTTCTAGGTTACTTGTATTGGAACCGGTTGTTTCTTTGACTTGAACTTTGACCCTTTGTGTGTGAAGTTTCTTTCTTATTGGTTGATAAATTTTGTCTATCTCGATGTGTCTATTGATTGATGATCCACTGGAATGCCAAGCTTCTAAAAATTCTCTAGCATTCTTGTTATTTCCTTTGTCTAATATTTGAACGTTGTCCCAGTCGAATTGATGTCCGTAGTTGTCTGTGTGTAGTGAAATGAGGGAGTGGATATCATGTCTTTTGACGGCTAGCTTATGTTCGTGGATACGAAGACGAAGGGGACGTCCACTTTGGCCGATGTAGTGTTTTTCGCAGTTGTTACAGTTTATTTTGTAGATGATGTTGGTTTTGTCTTCTTTCGCTGTTGAGTCTTTCGGTTGACATAGAATTGAGTGCAGCGACTTTGTTGGTTTGTGTACGACGTCAATTCCTAAAGGTTTGAAGAGTCTTGTAGTGATTTCTGAGATATCTTTTATATATGGTAAGGCAATTTTCTTTGTGCTTTCCTTGGTGGCTTTTGCTTTGGTAGGTTGGCTTGGGGGTATATGTCTCTTGATGAAATTCCGTGGATATCCATTCTTTTGGAAGACGTCCATGAGATACTTTTCTTCAATTTTTCTTAAGGTGGAAGTGCTGCAGTGAGTCCTTGCTCTCTTGAATAGTGTTTGTATGCAATTCCTTTTGTGTGTTATTGGGTTGTTGCTGTTGTAATTTAGGATTTGGTCTGTGTGAGTTGATTTCCTATAAACTTGAGTTTCTAATTCTCCTGTAGTTGTTCGCCTGACTAAGACGTCCAAAAATGGTATTTTGTTCTCGGATTCCACTTCTCTTGTGAATTTGATGTCGTTGAAGACGTTGTTTATTAAGTTTATCAACCAATAAGAAAGAAACTTCACACACAAAGGGTCAAAGTTCAAGTCAAAGAAACAACCGGTTCCAATACAAGTAACCTAGAAGGTGTGAAAACACACACAAACAACCAATCACGTCCAAGGTCACCAGGAGAGATGATTAATAAACTCGTGGAGAAATCTAAAAGCTCACTTCAAATTGAAGTATGTGCTGAAGATGTCACCCAGTAAGGTGATGAAAGCTTCGCAAACTAACCATCCAGCTCAGAGAACAAAACCACATCAATATATATATATATATATATATATATATATATATATATACATGTATATATATACCATATTAAAACATGCTTATTTTGTCTTCAATTACTTCATTTTACTCTCTATCATTGATGCAATCAGGCTTGGATCCATATGATGTATGTTCAATTTGCTTGGAAGATTATGCTGAACGTGATAAACTACGCTTATTGCCTTGTCAACATGGTAAGTATGGCGTAAATGTTTATTATGATAAATTAATTATATGTCTACCCTCATATCGTATACGTGCTACTGATTGATTGCATATATATGCATATATTGTACTTGTTCTTTTTGTGCTGTTGTGTCTTGTTTCTCCTTGAAAATATGAATTTTGCACTCCTGGAGCAAATAAACAAACACAGAATAACAATCAGTCCATACAATACGTTAATGTTGTTTAATTAAAAAATTAAACTGTTTGAGTTGATGATATTAGATAGTTGGAGGTAATCAGCAGGAAGCCTTGGACCTGGGTTTCGGGCTAGTTGGCACTCACTAGTCAGCAAGGCGTATCTGCAACCTTGAAGGAACAACTCATGTCCTCCTGAGATTCGAACCTGCGTCACCCAGTGCCGCCTTCAGTCAGAGACATTACCACTGGGCTATTCGGACTCGCGATTGACCTACTTTAGGACTGTAGTGGGTATTTTGATTGGACACTAGTAACTAGTGTGACGTGTTTAGTCGTTTCTTTGATGCATACTGAATTCTGTCAGTCAGGTTTATAGATTATAGATTATGGGGTTTTGTAAGGATTTGAGTTAAATTCCGTGTAGTTTTAGTGGCAAGGAGGCATCACTGAAAGATCACTGAAAACTAGAGACCGCTAGACAACTGTCTCATCCCAGTTTCTGACTTTTCAGTAGTGCCTATCCACAACCCCACTAAGTATCGATCGAACCTGGAAACGAAATATCAACTGCCAGCTGATTGTTGACTACTGGATAGGTGTCCTGAAGTTATGGTCTAAATGTAAAGGAACTAGTTCATTGTCTGTCTGGTCTCAGCATAGAACTTTGCGCCGGTGTGCATCAGTTCGACTCGCCACATTCACTCAGCACACAAAGACAGAGAAGAAAGTAAGGAAAAACGCAATATAGAGACAGTAAACAGAGATATGAAGCAAAAAGAATAGTAATATCAAAGAAAAATATAGTTTTATTGGAAATTATAAGTCACAAGGAGTGGATGCATCTGCGCCAGCCATTGCGAACAATTTTCAGCCATATCAACAATTGTCTCCAGCTTCCATTGGTGTTTACCGTTTTGAGGGCCTCAATCAGGAAGCTTACATCTTCCTATGTGGCTGAAACTAACTGTTGTGGATTTCATTGACTGATGAAGTCATGTTTTGGTTTATCGACCACTGGCTGTTTTCCAAGCTGACCCATGGTATGTCAGCTAACATTGACTGTCTAGGAAGGTGATGGTTAGGCATACGTATCACATTCCCCAACCATCTCAATCGGTGTAACTTCACAGTTTCATCTATTGATTTCCGCTCCTTACCTACCATTCGATGGATGCCACATCTCAATATCGCTTACTTTATTTATTATACCGTTTCACACAAGAGTTAGAACGCAGACAAGTATGATCAAAGACAGCTAGCGTTTTCATGTTTCCCAGTTTCAATGGATATATCCCATAGCCATAAAAGAGGATGGAGTGAACTAGTGAGCAATACACATTTCCTTTAATTGATGGGTGGATATCATGTCTACGCTAGAGGTGACACTAGAAGTTGACAAATGCTATACGAGCCTTTTGCCTTCATCGTAAGATTTTGTCAGCAATCAACTCGTTTGAAGCTGATGCGATTTCCCAAATAATTGAAGTGGTCAATGCGCTCTGTCACTTCACTACCCATTTTTAAGCTAAAAGTGTCGATGTAGTACATTACTGCAGTATATTACATTTGACTGGAGAAAATCGCATGCCAAACAATCAAAGATTGGTTACAGGATTTCATCATGAGTTGACATTGGTTAGAGAACCATTGGAAAACCCGGGAGTACTGGACAGCCGTCTCGTCTTAGTTTGGAACTCTTCATCAGCACGCACCCACCATAGGAGTTCAAACCCCAGGACCTTCTGGCTATAAGGCGATCTCGTAGACCATTAAGCCACTGGGACCCGATCCAATGGCCCATGAATTCTAACTTCTGCCAATTCACGACATAGCGCGACCTCTAGCCAATGTCTTCGGCGAGTATTTGTCCTCACACCTGATCTGCTGCACCCTACTGGTCACGACTACTTAATCAAAGATTGCTGTTCAACGTGTTGAGAAGACTGTGCATTTTGTCGGCGTCTTCACTTCAGACGACAATATCATCCACGTATTCTAAATCAACAAGACTATTCCCAGGTATCTAGTCAGTCGCTAAGTCACTGTAGTCAATTAGGGCCAATTCTGTTAATACATCTCTGATGAAATTCGGCAGAAATGGGGACAGTGGACATCATCCCTCTCCCCCTGACGGACATCCACTCGTTATCATCGGTTCAGATGAATGGCTGCATGGATTCGAGTAGAGTAGAGTGCCTTGATTAGTGTGATATATACTTTTTGGCAATCTTTTCACGATCCCCAGGCATTGTCATAGTTGACATGTTGATCGAGTCAATTCGTGATCTGACATAAAATCAATCAACTTAAATGTTCACCCATTGAATTGTATTCACCTAAAAGTTCAAATCACTTCACTTTTGTTTTTCGTATAAAATATAAATAGTGTACACGTCATTAATAGCTGATTTTATTTCACTTTGTATTTACTTATGCATTCATTTATTTCCATATGATTTATCAACATGACAAATCAACAATGTACGCTTTCAATTTTTCATTAAACTTTACAAAAAGCTCAATTTAATTAGGTCTTTCTTGATTAGCCGTATAGATACAGTGTTGGTACGTTTACGTAATTATTGAAGCAGTTGAAAAGTTCACTCATCCATGAACACATTGAATTTCGATCGCGTATTGATATCAATTAGACAGTCATTGAAAATCATGGACCCATGAGTTCGAAGTTCTTCCGATACGTAATTTTCAAGCGATGTATTCGTCCCCACACCCGTGGTGTAGTGGACCCTTCTGGTCACTACTTCTCATTAGAACTTCAGGAAACTTCGTCTTGTAGTCAGCCTCTAGCGAACATTGGTCATTGAATCGGATCCCCTGGCTGGATGGTATGCGCGCTTGGCTTGTAACCAACCTGAAGGCCCTAGATTCGAACACTGACAGTTGATGAGTACTACTAAACAGCCCCAAACCAGGAAGAAGCAGTCGTCAAGTACTCCTTGCTGGTTTTCAGTAATTCTCTAGTTGATTTCTATCTCGTGATAAAATCTGCAGCCGGTATCACACCTGTACAAACTGGCGCCTGAACATTTAATTTTAAAGTGGATTGTAAATAGATGGATGAATCAACGAAAAATCAAACAAAGAGAGAGAGATAGCAAGACGTATGATCTTGGTGTTGCTGTAATTTTTTTCGTGTTCAGGAACCGAAATTACCAGTGTGGCTGAATAACTGATGTAGTTGAAACCATCAAAGTGCGTTAGTGATTCGGCAGTAGAATGCTTGCCGACCACGCATCAGGTGGTCCGGTGTTAGATCTCTGGAAGGTGAACTTATAAACCGACCTTGCTGAGCTGTTAGTAACTTCGGTAAAGAGTGAAGGTTGGATGTGAGACGAGTAACCTCACCCTGTAAGAAACAGTGACACCTCGGATACTGAAAGTTCAAAGGTTGAAGCACTATGTACTACTATAAACGCAAAGGAATAAAATAACAGTAAAAGAAATCATCAATAGTTCTAAATTAGATGATCACCTCGTGCAAACAAGCCAAATATCTAGCATTGAGAAGTTTTCTATTATTATTATTATTACTATTATTATTATTGTTCCCTTGGGTTCCTAGTTGAACATAGGGCTTCAACTGCACGTCTCCACTTGCCACTTCTGTCTTCTGCTGTACTTTTCACCTGTATCCATGTTAGTCCATACTCTTTCAACTCACCGCTTCCCTTTCGGGTTCCACTCGAGGGCTTGACGCGCGATGTCACCCAGCGGTCTCCTCAGGGAGTGTCCGATCGATCTCCATTTTCTCCTGTATATTTGTTGGTTGGCGATTGGTTCTTGTTTTGTTTGATGGTGCCCATAGTTTCTTGTTGGCGATTCTTTCCGGCCCGGCCATCTGATCTTCAGTATAGAGTGAAGGCAGTTGTTGATAAAGGTCTGCAACAGGCTGTTGGAAATATTCTCTCTATTGGGTACTAAATATATTTATTACCAGCAGCTTCCAAACACCGAACTCTTCGAAAAGCCGAGATCACTAATTCGCTTAAAATAGTCATAGCTGTGTTGTACAAAAGGAACATCAAATGTAAGGTAGTGGTCAGAACATCAAGAACATCTCCAACTCGCCACCGAGAAGGACTTATATATCACGACACCCTAAATGGGGGTAGTCATAGCAGCTTGATGTAGCTAGACAAAGATTGAAAGTTGCTGTTTAAAAGACATATTATGCAGCGAGGGTCTGAATAATTGAGAATGTGTAGCCTATACATCCATCTAAGCCAATTAGAGCGTATGGAAAATGACTTCACATCGCCCTGTATATACATGTGATCACATACATAGGGAGGATTTATGGATCTTTGCAAGGAAGGGCTTCCTTCAGAAGCAAATTGAATCCTCTGTACTCTATAATGGTGGAAACAGACGACCTAACTCTTAAGGCAGGGCATAAAGTTTGCTATTTACACGCCTCTTTTAAACCAGTTTATTAAATTATTATTATTTCAACTCTCCTTTTCCTTTTATGTAAGTAAGTGTTAATACTACCCATCATTTACCACGTGTATAACCATACAAATTAACAATGTGTGTCTCCCTCTTGTCTGCCACTCATATTGTGTGCAAGGACTAGTGGTACTACTTGACAGCTATTCAAACTTTGTTAGGTTTGACGGGTTTCAATGCCTTGTCCTGGTTGTTAGAAGTTAAACGCCGTGACCAATGAGCCACTGTTCTTTCTTTCTTTTTTATTGTCTTTTATGTACTGTTCACCAACATTTCGAATGTTGTCGTAGGTGTCTTTTTTACTTAATTGATATGTACATATATCATGAGATGAGTATCGACAACATGGTAGGTGGTA